AACATTACATTAGGAACGATCCACAGCCGACATTTTTCTGGATTTGTTTTATGTTTTGTAAAGGGAATAAATTGTACATCTCCTTTCAACCTCTATGGGTAGCGATTGTATTACAAGTGCCCCAGGAACAGCGTTTGACCAGATCATGGACAAATACAGCAAAATAAAGCACTTGACTTGATACTTAGGACCATCCTCTGGGGATCATGAATTTCCCGGCAAAGTTTCAGAGCAGCCCATCCTAAACACACAGGTCTCTCTCTCTTCTTTGTTTTTAAGGTGGTGATATTATCTCACTTGCTTTTCCATCCATGTGTTGTTAAGAAAAAGACTGTTTGCTCTCAAAGCTAGCATGTTATGTCATCCATGTTCCTGTTTGTTCTCTTGTCTTCATTCATTTCATACCACTCTGCATAAGACCTGGAAATGCAAACAGTGACGTGATGGTCAGCTATTCCAACTGAAATAACCATGTGAATGTACCTCACAGCATTACCCACAGGATAGCAGAACTTGAAAGAACTCGAGTTATGTCTTTGAGTTGATTTTCCACACTGTAATAAAAAGAAAAAAATGACTGCCTGGAGGGGTAGAACAACACTCAAAACTAAATTACAGCAGTAAATAGTTGATTTATAGTAAAAGGATTGAAAATGCAAAAATAGACCTTGTTATGTAATGTACACTCTAATTTACAGCTGACATTCTTTATGGCTTTTTCTCAGCTGAAGAGTTGGTGAAGAGCAGTTTGGCTCCTGTATGTGAGCTGTTTTTGGACGTGTGCCTAGTGGAGGCAACCTGAATAGAATATATAGCATGCTGTATAAATCTGTTTAAAGACAGAGGTGACAGCAGCGTGTGCGTGTGTGTGTAACCAGCAAGCAGAGTTAGAGACTGCAGTACAATGAGCTGCCGTTTCTGCTCATCGCTGTCAAAGCACTGTTGTTATTATGCCGCTCCAGCCTGTGATTTACTCACTGAATGGGTTTATGTAAATATAACAACAGGTATTTAACTTAGTCACTGACTCTAAGATAGCCTGCAGAGGAGAAAATATAATTCGCTTCACAGCCAGAGGGATAAGAATAAAAAGATGCAGAGTGAGGGACAAGCTGTTATGTTGAAAGAATGAAAACAATAGGAATGATGAGATTAAAATGTTAAACACTATGAGTATGATTTTGACAATACAATGTCAGCGATCAGTAACTCAGGCTATCTCTTGCCTCGTAAATCTGTAGCTTTTGAACTTTATATTCCCTCCTTTCCCTATCACCTGAGTGCCACACCCAACTGCAAACCTGTTCTCACTTCCCTCATTTGCTCTGCAGTTACCTGGCCAACTCTGCCCACTCCTCACCTGCAACTCATTCCCTCTTCAGCCACTTATACACTTCCTTTGTTCCTTGCCAGTTCATCCTTATTCAATAAATCATTGAACTGCACCAGTCTGCCTGTTTTGTCCAATCTCCATTGCCCTGCTTAACCCATCATTACAACTAAAGGGCTTGTTTTTGCCACTGATCGTCAGCGTGACCTGTTCTAATGCAAAATGGAGACTGAAAATCAATAGCATCCCGACTACAATATGCACAAACACGGTGCAATTTCATGAACCCAAAAAATATTAATATAAAGCCTTTTGGTGTGCAAAGTTGTTTCTTAAAGGAGAGCATGGGGCGTCTTATTTATAAGGAGTATGATTTCAGTCAATTTAAAAAGAAGCCAGTCACTTAAGAACACCCTTGTAGAACAGCTCCAATCCATCTTTTTAAAAAGCGAGACGTGTTAAAGGATTTGACCCGAATACGTCCACCCAGATCCCTGGTGACCCGAGGCTGCCGTTGTGACACTGACACGGCTGTGATTTTTCCATTAGTGTGTGACTGTGGGGCCATTTACAGCAGCAAAGCCCTGTGGAAGGCAAGTTAGCTGTATTATCATTCAGCTGATGAGGTTATAAGCAGAGCAGTCTTGTCATGCCTATCCTGGCTTGCTGGACTGAGCGAATCAGAGGGAGCTACTGGTTATTAGTCTGGAAGCACGCGTCTCTCCAGAGACCAAAACTAGACTTTCACCAGGAGCCATTACATTTTTTTTTGTATTTGTAAATTTCAACATGCAACTAATACTTCTGTTAGCATTGTTAATACACATGCTAATCTGTTGCTTTTCCTTGTGTCCTGTTTCTGCAGACATATTTTCCAGATATTACAGCTAAAAGTTGACACTGAAGAAGAAATTGTTTTATTTTTCAAGGTAGGATTTCATTAGCAATTTTTGTTTCAGTTTTTATCTCTAGCTCGCATCTCTTTCCATTTCATTCTGTCTGATGTTCATATTGCAAATCATTAAAAGGAGTGGGTGCAATTTACAGGGTCATAATATGAAAGAGGTGAGTGTGGAGCTGGAAATGGAATTCAAATGACAGTGAGTCTCTCCTCCTTTGTAAAATTGACTACACACAGTGCATTACACATACAGTGTCTCAGTAATTGTGAAGATTACCCTCCATTCACTTCTGATTGTCTCTGCATCTGTTTAGAGCTCGAGATGTCAAAGTTCCAATCACACATCTTTTCAAACAGCACTCACAATGAAGACCAGCAGAAAGGGAATGGAAATGTTCTATTTAATCAAAATGTGTCCCAGCCTGTCACTTCAAGCTAATTTCACAGCAGAGCAACAGAACGAGCAATGAGTGTGTTTACCATAATTTCTTAAAGCTTGAAACCAATCAGATTTTATAAACCAAGAAAATTATGGCTTTTAATCCAAGGCCAGGCACATTAATTAAAAGAGCAATAAAATTGGGTGAAAACTTAAACTTATAATTTTTTGGGAAGTAAATAATTGTTTACCATTGACAGCAGGGCAGCCATGTTCGTTCATGTTCAGCTTAACAGAAGTGGTGTTTGGGAAAACATACTTTCAATATTCAAGAGAGCTTTATTATCACTGCCTCTGACAAGAAAATTACAGTTTCATCTCGATAGGTCTATCAGGTTCCTAGTCATTAAGATATGAAAATCAATATACCAAAGTACCAAATATAACATTAAATTAAACAAAAACGAAATTCATTGAAAAGACGAGGAAATAATTTTAAGATAGAACTATCAATATTAAAATATAATAATAAATGCATATGCAAGTGTAAAAAATTTTTAACTTCTTGCAATTGGTATCTATGTATATTTACATTTGAACTGCACACATACCATATTGATGTTGCTTGACTCTCACATATGACCAAAGTGTGTGCCACTAGTTATTTATTGTGACATGTCTCACTGACTCATAAGTACAAACACACCCAACACACACTTTGTGTTTACAAATTGTTTACATATTGTCAATGGAGTACTGGTTTCCTGTAGATGGACCCATTTTTTTCTGCTATAGGTTGTAGCAAAAATGATCTATTTCACCACACACTATAATCTGCACTAAAGGTATATACTGGCTATGAAGTGGATTACAATATGCCAAATGCTGGGATAAAGTTTTGTGCCACTGTGACTTGTGTATACAATGTGGGGCTTTTCTAGTAATGTCAGCACATTTGTTACTGAATCAACATATGTGTGTATACATGAACGGATATATCAAAGCTAAAAGATTTTTTCTTCGATTGTTAAGACAAAATATTTGAGTTGAGTGCAATCACATGCGAAAAGACCAAGGTTAGAGCAATTTCTGCAGTGGCTTCCACTGTTTGTTTGTTTGACCTTGGTGACATTGATGGCCAATAAGATCTCCTGACTCATACCCAGAGTATTGGATTTTCCACTCAGGTTGATGACTCACTATGTCATCAAAAAAAAGTGAAAGTGGCAAATGATCTTTGAGCCTCAGCAGCTGCTGTTCTTGTGGGGAAATTTTAGCTTGCTCGGCGGCTTTCATCCCCAAGCTGGGTAGAGATGATGAGTTTGTTTGACCTCTGTTTTATCAGATTTCCAATAAGACGTCTGCACTCATACAGGTGCTGAATCAAGGACCTGAGTTGTCAATTACACAGTGCTGGACTGGGAACCCAATGTCCTCGAAGAGTGTCATCATTTGGTTTGAATCTTTCGTTCTCTGGTGCTATAAGTGGGAGCGAAAACAACTACACACTATAGGTTATTTAGCAAAAGCAATGTTTCATGTAAGTTGTTGCAGTTGATGCTGTGGAGTGGCATTATTGCCTTCAGTAGATTTGTATATTTTAATAGCTTGTCTCTCTCATTGTTTGCTCATTATGGTTGACATACACACAAGTTTGATAAAGTGTCAAACTCAGAGACCTAACTTCAGTCCCCAGCAGTGTCTTCCATAGGCACTTTTTAGTCAGAGGGGGAACAACTACCTTCAAGTTAGTGGACACAACCTTTCAGTGGGAACATATGGGGCAAAAATAAACCTGCTTGCTTGTTTTTGCTCGTAAAACTCTTCAAGTGACAAGTGAAAAGAAGCACAAATATATATTCTGACTGTGATGTCAGTTTCACAGGTATTTGGTCAAATTTGGACAAATTAAAGCATGGGTCACTTGCGGGCAGCAGAAACAAGCTGTTTACATTGACTTTATTAGGTACACCTTGCAAGTAACAGGTTGGACCCCATTTGGTCTTTAGATCTGCCTCAACTCATTGTGGCATACTTTCAGCAAGGTGTTGAAAACATTCCTCAGAGACTTGGATCTATATTGACATGATAGAATCACGCAGTTACTGCAGATTTGTCGGCTGCACATCCATGATGTGAATCTCCCGTTGCACCACATCCCAAAGGTGCTCTGTTGGAGTGAGATCTGGTGACTGTGGAGCCCATTGCAGTACAGTGAACTTATTGTCATGTTCAAGAAACCAGTTTGAGATGATTTGAGCTTTACCACATGGTGCATTATCCTGCTGGAAGCAGCCATCAGAAGACTGGTACACTGTGGTCATAAAGCGATGGACATGGTCAGCAACAATACTCAGGTAGGCCATCGCGTTTAAACGATGCTCAGTTGGTACTAATGGGGCCCAAAGTGTGCCAAGAAAATATCCCCCACAACATTACACCACCATCACCAGCCTGAACCGTTGATACAGGGCAGGAATCTTCTCCAAATTTCATGGAAATTCAAGTTTTAGATGAGACATTTCCGTCTGAACCAAAAATATGAACCAGCATGTTGGTGGTAGATGAAACTCTGGGAATAACCAAAGTCATGAGAATTTATTCTCTTTGGACTTTTATGGCAATTCATCCAGTAGTAGATATTTCCCTCACCACAAATATGGTGATAGTAGATCAAAGTCACAGATCACCAAAGTCATTAGGATACATCATCTGGGGACCATGGATATCATAGCAAAGAAAATTCTAAGCATTTAGATGAAAAAAATATTTGAGATAGAAACAGCCATAACTTATGTATATTGGTTGCTTCATTGCTCAGTAGAAAAATACTTTCACATTTGCACTCGACACGATTATGTTTCTTCAATAAAAGACATTCTTGCAATGTATCTGCACACTGTGCAGGAATAATTAAATAGTTAAAACAATGTTTCCAGTTCCCATCGAGTTATTTCTTTGAAAAATGTCCCACATATCACCATCTGTTGTTTTGGTACCTTCAATGAAAACACAGGGAACAGATACTTCTCATTGTTGGAATTGTTAAGGCAACAATTGAAAAAAGTAAAAGAGGCAAAAGAATAGCCAAATCAATCCAGCAGCGTTTGTGTTTAACAGATTTAAACTGACAACGAAAGACTTGATTTCAAATTCTTGAGGTCCAAACTTCAGTCTGTAAGAGCTGTGTTTTCTGGGTTCCCACAGGACAATCAGGTTTCACCGGGGTTCTTCCACCCTGGGGAAGGACGAGATACAGATAGTTATTGAAATAGTTTGTTTGTTTGTTTTTTTATGCTTTTTCATCAGTATTTTTAAGTAAGTGAACATCAGTTGACAGTTGATTTGACTGTTTGTAGCTTTGGTTCTCAAGCAAGAGTGATTCTTTTACCTCCTTCCTCATCACAAGCCGATGCTGTATGATTGTATTCTGGATGTTGTTGTGTGTGTGTGTGGTCCGACCAGCTCTTTAGCTCTCAGCCAGCACACTGGATCACTGCTGTACCACGGGGGGAATGTTTCTGAAGCAACACGTTATTCACTTGCGGCTTCCATTCTTATGTAGACAACAGAGAAACAGGGGCAAAATTAACAGACAGCTCACACAGTGTGTTGTTTAGTTAGAAAATGTGATATTCAACAGTTTATATGAGGCCGGTGTAATTCTGTTGTTCTCATCAACAAATCCCAAGTCTCAGTAATGTCCTTAAACAGCTAGGCACTGTAGTTTTAAACAAATGTTACTCAAACAAGAGGAATTAGTGCATTTGTTGACTAATTTCAGTTGCGGATAAATATACATTTGTGAGTATTTCTGGTAGCAGGTTGGTGTATCAGATCGAGTTAGTATAAACGAATTAAGGAACGTCTCGGTATAACTCTGTGGCTCATTAATGTGTTTCTGGACATGGAGCTCTATTGCACGAACGAATAACACATCAGGTTTTGGATACTCACACAATAGTTATTAGCAAGATGCATTTATAATTGTCTTTAAATGGAATTTGTTAACAAGGGGAAAAAAAATCACTTATCCTTTTAAAGGCACAATCCACTTTCTATAACCTGATCCCATTAGCATCCAGTAATTGTGCTAAGTGAGGTCATCATTCAACACACTCTCAAACTACATATCCTAAAGGACTTCCAGGTGTTTGACTGAAATAACAAACTTGAAATACAGATACATATTTCCTGACAAAACAGGGTAAAATAAAAGTTATTCATGTATTATTCACCTGATCAAACGTGATCATTGTTTCATGATCTTTTTCTCTGATAGACGCCTCATCTCACCGTTGGCCTCGGTTGAAGTGCTCCAGCACGGTGGCGTTGGTTCTCTCAAACAGCCACTGTTGGCTGGGGGAGGAGGGGTCACATGTGTTCATGAAGACCCGCCGCTCGCTCGGGCTGCTGTCTATACAGCTGTTACTGACAGGGTGATACAGACTCTTGTCCTGGAGAAAATAAAAGAAAAAGATAACAGTCCCATTCACACATAAGTCGTTCACTTTTTTTCATAGGGCATTCATTTCCTTCCTGACATGATTTTGGTGAAAATATGTAGTGCCGTTGAGTGAAACATCATACTAAAATTTAGTACAGGAAACTTACATTTTAAATTAAACAAAAAGCTCGCATCTTTGTCTTTACCAAATTCAGCTTCCACTGGTTCAAAGAAAAATGGGGAGAGAAGTTTATTTCAAACATCATTTAATCTTCCCAAAGATCCTGTTTCTGAGTTAAGGCTTGTGCAGACTACACAACTTTCAGCGTCGGCCGATCGCCATGCTGTGCAGACTACACAACTGCCATCTTGTGACGGGAGTGTTGAAGTCGTTGTGGCGTTCAGTGTGACAGTGGGTCACACACTACGTGAGCTGACAGCAGCTGTGTCACCCACTGGCTGGTCTCCAAACCACGTTTTGTCAAGAAAGCACACGTGTAATGTGAAACGGGCTAAAAATCGTGTAGTGTGAACTAGGGTTCAATTTTTTTAGACTTGATGCCCAGGAGAAAGCCATTGTTAATGTGAAGATGTGTATTACTCAAACAGACTGAGAAACTGATTTGGAGTGATGACAGAAAGTGAGGTTCAAAATGATGGAGGCAGGTGATGTCTTGTTCAAAGGTGCAGGATGTTGTTTTAGTGGCTTTTTTTAATTGTTCGCTGTTTGTGTTGCTATTCTTTTATATTGCCCTTTGTCACTGGGTCTTTGCTGGCAACTATAGAAGTGCCATGTATGGCCTAAAGTTCTGTTTTTGGACTAGATGTTGAAAGGGCCATTGTCCTTGCATAAACAGGCTTTGGATGTTTTCTTCTAATCAATGATAAAAGTACTGGCTTATTTATTCAAACTATTATAAGCAAAGTGGGGTCAAAGGATAATGATTCTGTTTTTAAACCTTGACCTTATTACAGTGGGGGGGGGTTGCATTATTTATAATGATTCATAGTGTAACCTTGCTGATAGCTTTAAGTCACAAACCATGATTTAATTTTTTTTTTTTTTATGAACTTTATTTTGCACAATCTCCTGGTGTAGTTTGAATTAGAATAAGTGTTGTTTCTGTAGCTGTCACCGCAGAAAACATATTGTTACCTTTTATTCTTGTTGTCCACCTTAAATCTGCATTAAGACTGGCATATTATCAACTCATACATTTGTTATCTTAAACAGTTGTTTATTTACACATCCAGCAGACATAGATAAACATTAGCATTCATTTGGGGTCATGTTTGTGTCCACCTGATGTTCATCCTCCTTTTAGCTCTGTTTTACCTCCACCAACTCCTGAGGGAAATATCTAGCTCTTCAGCTGTCAAATGTTTCATCAACTAGTCGCTAACTTTGTCTATCTGCCTCTTGGTGCTGAGCAGGTTATGTACAGTGGGTTCATCAAAGCTTTACTGCTGCCTGCTGCTGCTGCTGCTCCTGCTGGGACGGAGGTTCCTGAAAGTGGTGAAGGACTGAACCAAACCAGTCAAGTTGCACATGATAAATCCATAACAATGTGCTGGAAGAGGCAAAAACACATAGATGAGGGGAACTACAGCGGTGGGTGATCTTTGTTGGTTCCTCACAAGTAACACAGCGTTAAAGCCACAGGGTGTTTTGAAAATTTCTGACTTCAGCGCCTCCAATGGTAGAATGAAAATATACACAGTGGCAGACACCTGTATGTTGTCCTCTTACATTTAATCTTTTATGTATGTTCTTATACTATTATTATTATTCCCATTGTTATTACTAATTTTGTTATGGCTTATAAATATATGTATTGTGTTTCTATCCTTAACCTTTCCTCTCCTATACTCCTTATGTTAGTCTGTCCACATTCAAATCATCTAGGGTTTAGGTCAGAGCTGTGAAATTGTTTTGGTGTTTACCTCTCGTTGTTCCTCTCCTCTCCTGGAATGTTCATTCAAGGCCGAGAGAGGATCTCTGTCCCCCAAAACATAGAAACCTAGACTTTGTAAATGATGATGCATCCCTTTGCACCATTTAATTTTTTTTTTATACCAGTACTGTCCCATGTTTATGTAGAAACAGGTGCCATACAAATTCATTTTAATTAGAGCTGAAATATGCTAGCATCACATAAATCATTCTTCACATAGTGGCTTTAAAGAAACAGGACCACGGTGAGTGTAACATCTGCTGTTTCTGCATCCTTTAATTTTCCCTCACATTCATTTAATTAGATATCTCACAGATGGTCACCACTATGTTGAGATGATTGACTTATAGTGCTTTCACACCTGTAGTTTGGTTAATTTGGTCTGAACCAAGGGAAGAAAATTATACATTGTTGGATTTTGGCATTTATGCAGCACCTTGCTTTGCTTTTGATGTGTATATTTATGTTCTTTGATGTCACAAAGAGCTCATGAAGAAATAACTGATTATAAACATTATTAGTATTATTAGACTGCATGTTATGAACAATGATGTAGAGACAGGATGAAAAAGAGGCATGCAGTGCAGTGATGATTTGGGGCTTATTACTGTGGGATCGCTGTCACACAATTTTTAATGGACTTAATGAAAAACTAAGTAGACGGAGTACAAGCACAGCATTTTTAACAGCTTTTAACCTATTAATCATGGAAAATACACACACTGATGTGCACACGTGGGTACCAAATGATTTGCATAAATACATACACGGCATATATAGATCGCTTGCTGAAGAGATTTCATGATTAGCAGATGAATTTATAGTTTTTGCAGCGTTAAAAGGCAATGCAGGAAAGCAGAGTGCAGATGGAAAAAATCCAGTCTCCAGTCCATCACCTCAGTATGAAGGAATTTTTATAAAACTACAATAAAATGGTTAAGGATGCAAGAACACACTATTTTTCTGAACTCATTACTACACATCAACACAATTTAAGACCAGACCAGTAGATCAGCTGGTAAACCCAGCCCCTCCTTGGGCCTCAGCTGAAAGTACTGATGATTGTGAATTAGGGCTGCAGCTAACGATGATTTTAGTATTCGAAGCTTCGATAGATTATTTCAACGATTCATGTGTCGTTTAAGAAGTACTTCTGCTTGGCGGCAGAAACACCGTAATTCTGGTAGCTGCATAGCTGCACAAACAAAGTTTCTTGGCTCAGTGTGTTTGTCTGACTCTGATCGTCACTGTTCAATCAGCAATTTTCGAGCCTACATGGAACCGTCCATGCAGGCTTTGGTCGGCTTCACTGTTTCAACTGTGGCTTACCCCCTTGATCGGTGACAGGGACCACACACACACTACAAGAGCTGACAGCAGCTGTGTCACCCGACACTGGTCTCCAAACCACGTTTTGTTAAGAAAACACACGTACGAGAATCTAGAATGAAAGGATGGATTAGCACACGCAGGTAGCAGGGATTGTCTGAGCTACAGAGAGAGCTGGAGGTGAGTAAAAAGGTGCATCTCCCTGACACCCAGTTAACTCCTGACTGTGAGGTTACAACTCGGCCCAAAAAAGGAGAACAGCAAACGCGCATGTGCACATTTCAAGCTGAGGTCTGCGTCTTACTTTGGCTTCAACTCAACAATCAGTCATGATTTCAGTTAAATGCTGAAGTTGCTGTTACTGTTACCTTACGGCTGCTTTTTGTTCAGGTGCTGTCGTGCTGTTGCCAAGGCGACATAAGTTTCGTTTTACGTTTGATGCTTTCTTTAACTTGAAATAATCCCATACTTCGGACACTTTGTTCTTTTTCCCTCCCTATTTTCTCTCTTCCTCTACTTTGCAAACAGCTCCATTATAATCACGTCGTGTTCACAGCGTAATTGCGATGTGCGACAGTAATAAATGTCCGTGCGAAACACTGTGCAGTATAGTTAAATTGATTAAACGAAGCATCGTTGCGAAGAATTTCTGTCCATGCATTTTATTAATCGATTTTATCGATGAATCGTTTCAGCCCTATTGTGAATTGTTATTTTACTGATTAGGTGGTGTCAATCAGAGCCTCTATTACTCCCTCTGCCTCTTACTCAGAGGTCCCTCACCAGTAACAGAATAGTTTTAACCAGTTTTATGCCATTGACTTGTGTGAGGTTTTAAAAACAGTATCACAAATGAGAGTGTCTTCCAGCCCACTTGATGTAATACCAACAAATGTTTTACTGAAAGTAATTGATTCTGTCAGGCCCCATTTGATTTCTGTTTTTAACAGCTCCCATTTCCCAACTCTGTTTTATAGCAAAGATTTTAGAAAAATAGTGTCAAAACAACTGCTCTCTGTGGGCGGGGATTGATCACAACATCATGTTAGAAAGACTGAGGCACTGGGTGGAGACCTCTGGTACTGCCTTGGAATGGTTTTCATACTGCCTGTCAAACAGGAGGGTCTGTGTCTAACTATGTCGCTTCATTCTGTCCAGTTAAATATGGTGTGCTTCAGGGGACGGCCTTAGGATCCATTTATTTTCCTTGTATTTGCTTCCCTACCTTATCCAGAAACATGGTGTTTCTTTTCCTATTTATGCTGATGACACACAGATGTACTTGACCGTCAGATCCACAGACCCTGGAATGCTGAGTTCACTTACCAACTGCTTCTGTGAAGTCAAAAAATGGATGTCAAATAATTTCTTCCAGCTGAACTCAGACAAAACAGAGATCCTGGTCATTGGGTCTCAGCAAATGGCAAATACTGCCATCTGCTGGTTCCCTAGTGAATTACATTAACCCTGTTGCAAAGAATCTTGGTGTCTGGTTTGATAGTAGTTTAAGTTTTGAGCAGCACACCACAAAGCTTGTGCAATCATGTCTTTACCAGCTTAGAAATATATCAAAACAATCAATGTTAACTTTTAAGGACACTGTACTCCAACAGCCTTTTTACTTGTCCCAAAAATCTATTGATGGACTCCGGACTGTCAAGAACTCAGCTGCCAGGCTTGTAACCACAACTAAGAAATATGACCACATCACCCCTGTTTTAGCTTCATTACACTGGCTCCCATTATGTTTTAGAATTGACTTTAAAAATCACTTTTAAAGCTCTTCATGGCCTCTCGCCCTGTTATATTTCTGACCTTTTATACACATCAGCATATGCCATGAGATCCTCAGGCAGGTCGGCTGTCTGTTCCAGAGTTTCGACTGAAAACTAAAGGGGACAAAGTCCCTTCTTAAAACATACTTTTCCTGATTTTATTTTATATATTTTACATTTACTTTAAACGTGTATTTTAGTCTCAAGCGTTTTCTTGCTTTTATCTTGTATTTGTTTTTGTGTGTTTTATTGTCTTTACACTTGTTAAAGCACTTTTTTTTGTGTAACATGAAAAGTACTCTACAAATAAAGAGGAGGAGGAGGAGGAGGAGGAGTAGTACTAGTAGTAGTAGTAGCAGTAGTACTAGTTGTTTAGCTAAAATCACATACTTGCTATGTGCTATCATAACATCCTGTAGTTGGTTCGTTTGCTTTCACAACGAGTCAATTTGGAAGTGCACTGAGACCACCCTATTTAAGCAGTCTCTCTGCAGTTGTTTGACCCAAACGAACCGTACTAACTGGGAAAACACAGGGTTTGTTTTAACCAGACCAAACAGGTTAGATGTGAAAACACCCTTAAATGATGCTTAGCTGACCAAAGAAATCACAAAGGCAGAACAGTGTGAAGGCTGAAAAGAGGATACAGCAGTAAATACCACAAATTTCAACAAGTAAAATAACTCCAAACTCTGTCTCCTCTTTCCTCTCCAGTACCTTTCTGTAGCGCCACAGCTGGTTCCCTTTCATGCCATGACAGTCGAACAGGGTGACAGGGCTATTGTGAGAGATGGCATCGAAGCAGACCTTCCTTGTGTGCATGGGGTCACCCACCCGAATATCCTCCCTCCAACCAAATGTTAACACCTGCAGGGAACACATAGTTACACCAACAGAACGTACCACTTGAGTCATGCTAGTGCAGATAAATGTTTTCAAATAAATTAACAGAGATAAGCAAAAAGGCAGACTTCCTCTTCCAGTTAACAATTCTTAAACAACTGCCCAATAGGCATATGTGTTTTTCAGCCCTGCTTGAGCATGTTTGTGTGTCATGGTCATTTCAGATACAACATTTGCAGCACAGCGCAACCATACAGCAATGTCAGGAAATTGAGACCTTGTGAGGTTTTATACCAGAGAAAGTGTAATGAAAGATCCTCACCTGTCCATGACTCCATGCCACTTCACCACGCCCTTTCACACAGCTCTCCAGGCGGATAGGGCTCCCTGACACAAAGTGTTTGATCTCCATACACATCCCACTCCCCATGTTCCGTATCTACAAAACATACACATGCACACAAAAACACATGGTTATTATTTCTGTTATATTATTTCTGGTAACAGATCATGTGTGTTGTGGCCCTGCTTAGTGAACATTTCCCACTGTATTTAATCACACATTTCTTGTCACTTTCAACCTATACTTTACCTTTGGATCTAAATTAAATAATCCTAAAATTATCTCAGAATCAGCTTTTATTGCCAGGAATTTGACTGATTGTACATTGCTCACGATGTGCTTACTCATACAAAAATACAAAATCACAATAAAAATAAGATAAAATCAGACACAGACTTCAGTGTAGACAACACAAATATACACACTATGAACATAAACAATATAGACATATTAACAAATACTGCAGTGAGCAGAGTGCAAAGGATGCAGGAGTATGTACATGTCGGAGGTAGATGTAATATACAGGAACATATACATACACACATGTACACAGTGCAATGAAGCATCATGCAAAGGTTCATGGGGCGGGTCTGCGCGCTGGGGGGCTGGGGGACGGGACTGAATGAATGATGGGGCCAGTGAGGAGGACCATTCTAGCCTCCCTATGACCTCCTTCACCTTTCCCCCTTTGGTCATGTCTCACAACATACACCCTTAGGACTCTGGGGGGCGGGCAGGCTGCAGGGCGTTTGGTGGGTGAGGCTGCTTTATTGCGGCCTCGCCCTTCTTCCTCCCCCACTGGCCACCCCTCAATTTTAATTACACATTAGACACAGAGGGCTTGGGAGGTGGGAGGGGCACGGTGGGAGGCTCCACTACCTGACACTTCACAATCCATGACATGCATCCAACACAAAACAAACGGGGGGCGTGCTGGGCATGGGGGATTTCGGCTGGCGCCGGCGGCCTTAGTTTTTTCCGGTGCTTGGGGGACGGCAGACTTTTATTGGCGGGTGCACGGTGACCTGTGCGGCGTGTTTGCTGCCGGGCTGGGACTTGCTGCTGGTGTCTCTCTCCGCTGGCTTTCGCTGTCGTGTTACTCCGCTTGCTCTCTCTCGTTTGCCCAACCTCGCACGCGGGATTCGCGGGGGGCTGCTGGGCATTGGGTGTCGCCGTGCTCGCGCAGTGTACGCGTTGGGCTCGTCACTTGTGCATTGGTGTTGATGATTGCGTGGCATTTGGGCGTTTTGGTTGTTCGCTGTGCGGCGGTGGGGTGCTGGGTGGGGGGGGGAGCACTGGTCTATGTTGTGTGCGTGCTGCTCTTCCGCGGGTTACGCTTCTTGCGTTCCTTCGGCATTACGTTGTCAACTGGCATTTGGGTCGGGGTCTTCCGCGTTTGCATCGCGGTGCATCTGGGAGTCTTTGTTTTTTTGATTGATTTTTTATTTTTTTCTTTCTCCCGCCCCTATTGGCTACTGGGGTTCTTGCCAACCTGTTGCTGAGGTTGGAGTGGCACAGTCGGGGTGTCCCACTCTCACTAACAACTACATTCTTTAACAGGCTTATGCGCACACACATGTACACACACACACATACAGACAAATTCACCACACGCACACAGACACACACAGTCTCACACATAGACACAAACAAATTTAGGTTGCCCCAGGTAGAATTATTCCTGATGCTTTTTGTTCAGTAACTTATTCAAATTAACCTTCCATCCCCCTTCTCTTACAGGTCTTGTCCTTTCTCTGTGCTGTCTGTTTGTGCCCCCCCCATCCCCGTGTCTGCCCCCCTGTCCGGCCCAGTGACAAATCAATACATAATTAAATAAATAATAAAACAGACAAAGGAGTATATTAATACTCTCTTGTTAAAGTAAAATCTGTCTGGGCAGGACAGGTTAAAAAAACAAAAAAAACAAAACAAAGCAATTTTGCATAAAAACACAGCCATGAATAAAGAATGGTACCAAAACATCCTCCGAGAGCAGCTTCTCCCAGTTTGGTGACAAACCATGCTTTTCCAGCATGATGGAGCACCTTGCCACAAGGACAAAGTGATAACTAAGTGGCTCGGGGAACAAAACATCAATATTTTGGGTCCATGGCAAGGAAACTCCCCAGACCTTAATCCCCTTGAGAACTTGTGGCCAATCTTCAAAAGGCGGGTGGTAAAAAAAACAAACTCAAATTCTGACAAACTTCGGGAATTGATTATGCAAGAATGAGCTGCCATCAGTCAGGATGTGGCCCAGAAGTTAATTGACAGCATGCCAGGGCGAATTGCAGTGGTCTTTAAAAAGAAGGGTCAACACTGCCAATATCGACTCTTTGCATGAATGTAATTGCCAATAAAAGCCTTTGACACTTATGAAACGCTCATGATTATACTTCAGTATAGCATAGTAACATCTGACAAAAATATCTACAAACACAGAATGAGCAAACTTTGTGAAAACCAATCCTTGTATCATTCTCAAAACGTTTGACCGCAACTCTACACATGGAAGGGCCAACAATCCTGTGTTACTGCAAACATGTTTCATTGCTGTTTTTGTCTGTTGTTATCACTGGGAAGAACTTTCACTAGTATTTCATTTTTAATGAGTCAAAAACCTTTTCTTGAATTGAGCATTATGCACTTTATAGCACCATGCCCGAGTGTTTGAGTTACATAGAGATTGTTAGATACATATTTTAACTCCAGATTCTATTATAGGCACAGCCCTCTAACTCTATCACTAGTGGCTTCATGTCACACATGAAGTACTGAAAGGAATTTAGTCCACGTGCACACAGGTAAAGCTGGTCGTCCACTAATCAGAAGATCAATGTTCGATCACAGGCTGTTCCAGTCGGTATGTCGAAGTGTCCTTGGGCATGATACTGAACCCCTAAACTGAACTTTTGTTATGAATCTGAGCCATTGAACTCAGTTTCCCACAATCCTGCAGGAATTTACATCTATATGTGAACTCTGCCCATGGAACCAGCTTTCACCTACCATTGCTCAGTTTGACCTCATGACATCACCAGGTTTGCACGCACGCACGCACGCACGTACGCACGCAGCCTTTTGTTCTTTAGAGCATTTTTATTTGGTTTCATCTTGTTTCTTTTGATATTTTTCACATAAATGCTTGTGAACATACAGTACATGCTGGTTTCTTTAATGTTGCAAAAGAGTGAACATATCGCCAGCCTCTTCTATGTAGATCTCCAAATCCTTCAACCTACTAGCTATTGATGGTAATTTGGTTATAGTTTTGTTACAGATTAATAACTCACCACTCTGAAACTCTTGCTCCAGTCCGCGTTGCCAAGCTGGTAAGGGGAACATATACAGCGGAACCAAAGCCTTGTTTACCGGCTTCTCACGACCCACCCTACTCTACTTCTGATTGGCTAGTAGTCCTTAACGAGGAACTGCGCATGTGCAACTCCCAACAAACAAGTTAATTATTAATCAGAGTTTAGCATATTTTATGATACTAAATTAGTTAATTGATTATCATTTTTTCTACTTTGAGAGTGGTGCCCCGAGGTGAATTTAACAGTTCACTTATATTATTAATTTTTTTAAAAGTAAAGTCCTTATAGGCAAGTGCTGGCACTCGGCGGCCATCTTGATAACGCCTCCAGGCAGTTATTATGGACTAACAAGATCAGGCCGTATGTAGAGCGAGCCATAACTGCACTTTCACTGGTCACTGGGACATAAAAACGCATGCATAGAATCAGCAGTAAAATCTGATAAGAATCGCTGAAACAGTTTGATGACTTTGCCCCAAAATAAGGTTTAAATAGCGCTTTCCCCGATGGTTTTACTTCTACTACTTTTGAAATCATTCTCAAGTGCTTGTGTTGAAGAAAAATGGGAGTCGATTGTCTGGTCTCCAATTTATCCCCAAGCTGAGAGCGGGGTGAGGCCCACACAGCACGTATGCGTGGACAAGAGTTCTTTCAGTGCTCCCTGTGGATGCAAGGGATAAACCCACTAGCTATAGCCTCATACATATACTGTACATGTGCCTCTGCTACAGTATTACCAGTAGAAAAACTGTTTTCCTGCCTGTGTCCCGCTTTTGGAACATGCAACCACCCACTTTAGTTGGACTAGTAGATTCTTACATGAATGGCCAAGTATACTTGGGCAAGACACTGAACCCCAACATGCTCCCTCTGCCATCAGTGTATGAATGTGTGAGTGTAAAGTGTTGTAAACCACTTTGAGTGATCAGTAGACCGCAGACAGCTCAGTTGCTGTATGAATACAAGTCCATTTAGCATTTGTTCCGTGAACCAGAGTGCCTTTAGGCATTAAAAAGGTTTTCCACAAAATTTATGGCGATGTAGAAATCACTGACATTTTCAAACAAAGGATGAAAACACAGTTTTAACTTTGCTTTCAGCAGTCATTATACAGTACATTTATTTACGCATTTCCTTCTCTAACTAATTCCTCTAACTTTTGTCAGTTTTCTTTTTAATTTCTTAAATAATAACAAGCTAGAGGTCCTTGTGCTGACAGTTAGATGGAGTTTATTACCTTATTATCAGATGACTTTATTCTCCCACACCCCTGTCACTCAGGTATCTATTTGAGCATCTCTGAAATGATGATATGTGCTGTGTGCTTCTGATGTGTTAAAATAGAGATGCAAAGTTCTGGTCCATCCTAGCAAGTTAAGATAAGTTTGTGCTCTGTTAATTTATCATTGCTGTGTGGGCAAGCATGGGTGCACCCATTTCCCAATCTGTGTGTATTTCACCAATATCTAATATCAACTTCTAACATTTACCTTGGACCTAACTTCCCCACAATGTTCAAAGTAATTTCATAAACAAATCCTTACCTCTCCCCACGCTGCAGCAGGAGGCTCCACCGGTGGGTAGTGTTTGGGCAGATCCCAGGCCACTTCACTCATGAACCACTTAAAGCTTTTGCAGTTAAGGCGGTTCCTCAGCTCCTTCTGGCCCGTCATGTCTCCTGCTGACAGGTGGCGGTACTCGGGCCGACGCTGGTACACGTATTCTGCATATTCGTCCATCCAGACCTCTGCCACACGTTTTAGGTTCTGAAATCAAATCAAATAGAGACTCAGGAGGAAAGATTAATTCACTAAACAGCATATTTTTCTTGCACGGCATTTCAAGTCAAATGTTTTAGCTTTCCAAATGTTTCCATAGTCTGCTGTTAGCACCATTTGGTCTCAGAGAGTCTGCCCCAACAACGGCATCCATTTCTTGACTTTGCCTCAGAGTAACTGCACGTAACAGCAGCTTTTTGCTACTTACAGCTGTTAAAACTTTTAAAACCATGGAAATCCATTCGGAGCCAACTGAAGGTGACCTTATCTGTTGGTCTCCATGAATGCCGTTTTAGTTGGAGTACTATAGCACTTCAATAAAAGAGAAAAACTTTGAAGAGTGAAGAATTTGAGGTATAACAATGATCAGGTTTATTCAGGACCATCAGTATTCCACTAAGGCCCTGTTTAAAGACTGTTGGTCAGAATAAAAAATCTAAACAAAGGTCAGTGTCTTTCAGTTGCACACTGAGCCAAACCATGCCAAGTTTCCATGCTGCAGCAGAGGCATACATAATGAATGGTGTTTGGCTAGACCCCAGATGATTTAGTGCCTTTAGACAATTTCTCATTCTATGTAGGTACTTTGAAGAAGGAACAAAGAAACTTAAGCTCATTCTTCACAGTAACACCTGCGAAGGCTATAAGTTGTAGATAGTGGATACACTGCATACTGCTGCCTCTCGTCTGGTGGTCTTTTGTTAGTGGATGCTGAGCCGACTGTAAAGAGCTCTCATGCAAAGAGGAGAAAGAGGAGAGTACTTAGTAGAGGACGTAGGAAACAAAAACGCTGCCATTTATTATACTGCACCTCTTAAAGACTAGCTTACACTAGGATGAAGTGTGTATGTGTGTGAGTAACTGTACAGTATATGTGTTTGCATGTGTGTAGTGTTTGTGTGTCTGTTTATTTATGTACTTGAGCTTAATTAGACACTCACTCCTTCTCGTTAGCTGATGTATTGAGTTACCCTGTTCGGTGCAGTTCAGGGACAGAGATGTTGGTTTTACAGTATTGCACACTCTGTGTGTGTGTGTGTGTGTGTGTGTGTGTGTATTTGCATGAAAACGATGGCATTTCCAACTATCTTTACTAACTAAATATTTCCAGAGCTGAAATATATTTAGTTTCATATCAAGCCATATTTTAGCACTGTACAAAACAAAATAATCCGTTGTTGTACTATTTTTGTTACTGTAATTTAAATGTTAAAGAGCCTTGTGTGTGACTACTGCATAATAATAATGATAGTTATAATCACTTTTGCTGATCAGATGTCATTTTTAGTTTTGCAAGAGCATCATTGGATTTCGCTTCAATTATGGTTTGTTTAAAGAGGTCATTATGCTCATTTTCACGTTCAAAATCTTATTTTAGGTGTCATTTTCACCATGCGTGTTGATGGCTTCTTTTTACCTATGGAGTGATACATCTTGTCTCTACAAGATCTTTGTTGGGAGTTGCACATGCGCAGTTCCTAGTTAAGGACTACTAGCCAGTCAGAAGCAGAGTAGGGTGGGTCATGAGAAGCCGGTAAACACGGCTTTGGTTCAGCTGGACATGTTCCCCTTACCAGCTTAGCAACATGGACTGGAGCGAGAGTTTCAGAGTGGTGAGTTATTAATCTGTAACAAAAGTATCTTTCATCCATAAAGTTTTAACTGAGCTCTGTCTCTACATCACAGGAACAACTTTATGTCCACTGACTACCTGGAGGGTAGCTAGTGTTTGGAAGGGAGAGGAGAGCTGTGTGCTGCAGCTCACTGTTTTTCCAACGGTGTTTTTGCGGGCGTGTCGGAGTAGCTGCTTGGCAAGCGTTATGATGCTCATTTTGCTTTGTCATTACAAGGATGAAAGGGAAGCGGCTGGACTACAAACGAGCTGTTTTCAGGCAGTTCAGAGCAGAGTTTTCTGTGGGAGATGGGAACTCCATGTGGGCTGGACTTTGGGATTCTTCATTTGGAAAACCTATTACATGCACAAAAAAGGTATTTAACTCAATAAAGGAGAGGAAAACCCCCCAAAGCACAATATGACCTCTTTAAAGAAACCTTACTGAGCCTTCTAGAGACCTGAGAACAATCAAAATGCCAAAAATTGGAATACAGCACTAAATAAATGCACTATTATAGAGATAGGAGATACTGTATTGTTGCCGTAACTGAGCTTTTCAGTCTGTTTAATTTAAAAGCTATAGAATGAATGAAAAATATTAAAATGAGTCAGCCCTCCAGCTTAAAAGAAACAGTATTATATATGCATATAAAGGAAGGACAAACTAACAGTAACTTACAATTTAATATGGATTGCTGTATTTTCTAAAACTGAATCCAATGTAATATTTGTATAACAGTGGCACATAATACACTTATCTAGAAAAAAGACTCAATCAAACCCCACTGATTTTACAAAAGATCAATTTATTAGTCATGGTGGAGCTTTGTCAAGTCTGAAAAAACTAAGTCTGATGATGTCTGATGAAGGGTCAAACGTGAGATTGAAAACTGCTATGTTTTAACAGAAGTGTACTGAGATTAAACAGTGTGGATGTTTATCTAATCAGTAGCTTTTTTGTCCTGGAACTTTACGGAAGTGCCTATTAAATCAGTGGGATACTGTACTAAATTTAGTTTACAAAAATCTGTAAAGCTGATCTAATTTTAGAATATACAGAAAATATGTATCGAAATATAGTCAACATTTCATATTTTGTTTATTGGTTTCCTATAAAATTTTGGCTAAGGGGTGAATTCACAAAGAATGGTTTGCAAACGCAATCTGTCCTGTCTCAATGTACGATTCACAAAATATACTGTGTTAATGATATTACAGCACAAAAGCGCCCATAAAGGTTTGCAGATGAGTGCAATTTCCCCTTGTTTTGCATCTGATTGTGGTTATCCATTTGGCAGTATAAACAATGGCTATGTGCCAAGAACACAGTAGGCGGGATGGCAGAGAAAGGGAGAAAAATGAAATGTTCAGACCGCAAGCTACAAGTCCTGACCAACGAGGTGCAGAGGCATTCCTTAAAAATTCAGGCAAGGAATTTAACAGACAGAGAGAAAACGTGTTTGGGATTAAATATCCCAATCTGTCAGTGCTGTTGATGTTTTCATATGCACATCTTCAGACTGTAAAAGAAGCATGCTTTGAAGTGGAGGACAAAAGAAAAAATATCACAGTGGCATACAAACTTGTCAAACGGGCAGAGGTCCCCCCTGAAGAACGGCCTTTAAATAGCATTAAGTAAAAAATGCTCCAGACGAATCTTGGCCTGGAGGGAATTAACATAGGCTAGTGTCTTTTACAGGACTTTGAAAGTAAGTTTACTATTATTATTATCCATCCATCCATCCTCCCATCCTCAACTGCTTATCCTGCGCACAGGGTCGTGGGGTATTATTATTATTTATTTTTAGGCCATATGGTCCACAAATTTGCCTTTTATGTTTCATTTGTTTAACTGGGATAAGTTTGTCTAAAAATGTATGCCTAGCCCTTTCTCTACTATCGAGACTGTAGTCACCTAAAACGTGAAGGAACCCCATCCCACCTCCAACTACCAGCCTTTAGTTTAGTAGCCACAAATGCAGACTTCTGAGCAGTTTAATTTGGCCTGTCTTTATCTCATGATTCCATCCATCCATCCATCAATTTTTATATTTATACCCGCTTATCCGTGCAGGGTTACGGGTGGGTTGGAGCCAACCCCCGCTGACACTGGGCAACATGATACGATGAGTTCAAATGAAATTTTGCAGTGTGGTCCACTCAGTTTGACTCTTCTACCATTGTTTGATGGAAATCATTTGATTAGCCTTGCTATCAATCTTACCAATACTTTTACTTTCAATAAATCCATTGTTGTGTCATGACTCAGATGTAACAGAGGTGATGTGACAGCATTGTACTAACACTGAACCCCTGTATCAGCCTGACTAATCTGCTGTATTGTCTTTTGGCATGAACCGTGGAGGCATACAGCTTGAAGAATTACCTTTGCCAAGCTGATTCCACCAGGGACCTTGTAGGGGACGTACTTCCTATAGATGTGTCCTACCCTGGAGCAAGGTATGTCCTCCATCCGTCCACCACACATCCACACCTACAGAGAGACACAGATGACAGAAAAGCTCTTTCATCAGATAGATCTATCTTGTATTTGGAAACTTAACATTCAAAGACAGAAAGTTGCGGAAAGCTAAAGGAAGGAGACGTTCAAGGAGATAAGCAGGAAACTGATGGCTAAGAAGAAAGACACATGAAGTACAATGTTTCTAACAGGCTTATAAATCCTAGGAGACTAAGGGGAGAGAGGAGTGAAGGGAGGGAGGAAGGGAGAGCCAATAACAATGAATTGGCACGATATCAGGGGAAGGAAAGAAGACCATATTTTGACATAGTGGTGACCTGACTTCTAAAGTAGCAGGGTCAGATTGGAGAAAGACTAAGCATCTAGGTTTAAACTTTGGTGGCACTGGAGAAAGAATGATAGTGGCAGCTTCAAAAACAGCTAAAAGCAAAAGCTTTTTAGGAAAACAAGGCATTCAGTTTCTCTGAAATATTGCAATTTGAACATGTTTTAAGCACCCCAATGTCTTAAGTAAAAACAAACCTTACTTTACAACAATTTTATCTCTTTTCTCTTCCTTTCCCTTGTCTATCTCACATAGCAGAGACATTCAGCAGTGGCTCCTCATTTTAATCCTACCAACTAAAATGAAGACAACAGTGATGATTTCCTTTCTTGGCTTGCAATGTTGAAAATAAAAAGGCAATGAATGAAGAGGATGAGAAAGAAAGACAGACTTGGAGACAGCAGGCGAGACTGAAAGGGGTTTTGTTTTTAAAACAATAGCAAAATGAGTGGGGAAATGAAAAGCTGGATTTAACATTTAAACAAATAGGTATGGGAAGAAAGAGGTGTAGGGCTTCCAAATTGTTTCAGCAGAGTGACGTCCTTTAATATGTAAAAAGGTTTGAGGCAGGCTGGAGCTGTTGGAAGTTCAAAAACACATCATCCGTGAAATAAGGCAAATGTCACTGCAATGGCTGGTCAGGTTTTGCGGAGATGGACTTATGCAAAAGAAAACCTGTGAGACCAAAAATTACCCTCTGCAGAACTGTGATGGACAAGCTAGCCAACATGGACCCAACACGTTGCCAAGGATTAGGAATCATAAAGGGAGCTGATCCAGTCCTTATGCCAGGCGACGTAGATTATTTAGTAAGTATTCATGGTCTCCAGAGGATGATCCCAAATCTTTCCTCGACAAATACACATTTATTCTTTAGCTAAAAGCTAAAGTATCACAACTGTTTTGTTTACATTCATGACATGTTTTCAGAGATTTACAATAAAAAAAACATAGAAGACAAGTCTTACACTTACAAATGCTGAAAATGTACAAATCCAAGAATGCTGCACAATTTGATTATGCAGTTTAGCCAAAATTACATTTTCTGTGAAAATAATGTGAGCTACCAACAGCCAATCTAGTCTGCATTTCTTCACATCACTGTCACCACTGCGCAACCATAGTCTCTCTGGTCTGTTGTACATGAAGTTCCACTGCCAGAGAACCAACTCAGATTACATGAGTATACTAAAACTCAACTACAAAACAACATAATTCACTCTCACTGCATAAATAAAACATATTGCTGCAAGATAAAAATCCAGCATTGACTAAAAGTACAACTAAAACTCGAGTTGTCTCAAGTGGTGTCTTTGAGTAAATAAAACATAAATGCTTATAGTTTACTGTATTTCAGTGGCTCTGGTCGTATGTTTGCTTCAACTATACATGAATAATAATGACCTAAGTAAAGGCAATGGAGTGCCTCAAGGTTATTTCTGGCTCCTACATGCATCTGAATGGACTGACCCAATATTTTTTAAATAACAGATGGTTTACATGTAGATTTCATCCTGGGTTGACACCTGGACCAGAGGGCAAATACAGAAAGTTGGTAATAAGCAAGATACAAAGCATTCCACATGTCATAAACCATAAAGATAGTTTCTTTGGCCAGCCAATACTGTTTGATGGTGTTGTCGTGGAAAAATGCATCACAAAGCCAGTGCATTACGATGGTAGCAACAGCAATATTCTCCATTCTACTGTTATGAATATTAAAACATCATGTAATTTATTATGTAATGTATGCTTTTAGAAAAGTTTTTCTTTGCCAGTTAGCTAACTTTTACTCAAAATAACTACTTTTCTGGCTCCATCCATGGAGCTTTAATTATTTCTGCCTCCAGAGCAACTCTGTCTTTGAGAAATGTTTGCATAACTGAAAATCCAATCCTGGTGTTGCCTTGCACTATCCTCTCACTTGGCATGTGAGGTCATATTGCTTCCGTGCTCGGTGAGCATGTCTGTACTGTGTGAGTTGGAAATGCTCGATGTTCCCATACCAGTATGATCAGGATGGAGCTTTAGATTGCCTGTACCAATGCAGTGATTGCGTTTCACATGCGGGCAGGACCTGGGTGTCTGTGGGCACAACAGTTTGGTTTTAAGAATTAGCCTGTTAATTTTCTCACCTCAGGAGACCGGCTGTCTGCACTGTATCAGCTAATGGGGATCTTAATAAAAAAGGAAACCCAAATTGGATATCAGAGGGCATAAAGCAGACTTAAGGGGCACAGCTAACCATGTAATTGTATGATCATCTTGGCCAAAATAATAACCTTGGTATGGGATATTAGCTCAATAATTACTGAAGTAAGATGAAAAGCTTCAAAACAGTATTAAAAGATGATAGATTTTCACACCAGGCTAAGTCCTGGGTCATGGCCGGTGTTAGTTGAAGCCTAGGATTTGTTTCACACTCACACCTTCAAATGTCTGTAGTCCCCACATTTTGCTCAGGGTTTAAACACTCAAGGGCAGGGTTACCCTTTACACTTTAGGGTTAAGGTGGAATTATATATCTTGATGTATTGATTTATTGTCCAGCATCAGATTTCAACTGTTGAAACTACCACCACAACACTGAGCAGATGTATTATACATTATCAGGCTGCAGTGTTATTATTTTATACACCAAAGATATTGTATTTTAAGTGAGTTCGTGACATAACAAAATATGTTGCAGTTATGCATATAATTCATCAGTTGCACAACTGTTTATAATTTCTGCCTACACAATGACAATGTGTATTTATAATGGCATTTGTTTTTGTTTTTTTTACATTTGATGCAATTTTATATTTGAAGCTTATTTTACATATCGTATTTTTATTTATACCTACATTTTACTTTACTTTATTTTTTGTAGGCATTTCATGTCGAAAGCAAAGTAAGAATTTCAGTGTACAGGGAAACTTCTGACATACACTTTGAATCCTTGAAAAGAAGGTTACTCATTCTTTTTTTTTAAGCTTACTTGATGTTGTCTGTACCAACAATCACAACTGGCAGAGGAAGAATTGCTAAAAACTTCTATTACCAGGACATCACAACATTGCAACTGTTACAAACAACTGTTAAAATATAATTCATATGAATTTGATCTCTTACTGCTATGGCTAAGCTTTGGTTAGGTCTATTTAAACTAAGCTGTTAAGGTGAAGGAAAGATTGTGGTTAAAAGAAAACAACACTGACTGTTCGTAGAAAACAGGAAACTAAACAGGAATCATCACCCTCAGAGGTCATACATAAAGCTTTTGTTATGTGACTGAATCCAAAAGAAATAAGGATGATTCCATTGCCTGGGAACATTAATTTCCAAGAGGTGCAATGATACAATGACAAAGGGCTAAAAAGGTGGCAGCATGGCTGGTTACATGTTGAGTAACATTTTACCTGTAATTTTAATTGGTTTGTAAAATAAATGAGCATTAAATTAGCCATTGGTTAATAATAAACACATAAAATGAAAACATAGTTGTTGATTTATTATATTGCATTTCTGTCAATAGATCCTTCTAAATGTTACACATTGATCTTTTAATCATTGGTTGATATAACTTTTTCCTTCTGTCCCAGTTAGAACTTTGGTTTTGTCTTCATGTTTTTTCCTGTGTTTAATCTTTCTTGGTTTGGGGTTTTGTCTTTTTCTTTGTAGCCTTGTTTATTCTTTTGTTCATTTGCATTTTAGTTCTGTGTCTTAGAGGGCTTTCACACCTTCCTCGTTTGGTCCGGACTTTCGTACTTTTCATTTTGGTCCAAACCAAAATTGCAGGTGTGAAAGCTCCCATGGACCACAGTCCAGAACAAACAGACGAAATTTGGTCAGACGAAAAGAGGTAGTCTCGGTCCGGATCAAACTGAACCATGGTTCGGTTCTGGTGTGAAAGCATTTTTTGGATGGTTCGGACTATTTTCAGGCAGTTTGGCGGTTGACGTGTAAACCGGAAACAAGCAAATGTACGGAGAAATGCATTGAAATAAGGACACAATTATAATTCTCCCGTGACAGATCATCTTTTCAAACAGATGGCCACTATAGAAGCACTGACACATGCATCTTTGGTTTCTCCTGAAACGGACGTGCAGCAGGATCGTTTGCCGTCTTCTCCTCCTTTCCTGTCGGCGACGTTACAATGTTTGCACAATGAAGACGTATAATTACGAATTTGAGCTAGCCTTCAGTATAGATGGATAGATAGTAATGCCATAATAATAACACAGTGGCAAACATGCATATGTTCATTTTTTATTCATTCATTCTTGTCAAAGATACCCGCTGAACAGTTTAATAAACAAATCATTGTCAAGTACAGGGAGACGCAGCCCACATCGATGATGACGACAGGACGTTACATTATTTAGTTTTCTGTCTGCTAAGTGTTGGTTTGTGTTCTCTGTCTGGTGAGCGTTTATTTCACAGGGTTCAGTTCTTGTGTGCTTGTTTCCTGTTGTGTTTAGTTTGCGTTTTGATGTTCAGTTGTGTTTGTGCATTTTGCTCTGGTTCTGTCTGCTCCTGTGATCACTCTGCCCGCCTGTGTGTCTGTGTTCTGTCTAATTACCTCATGTCCTCCACCTGGTCTTGGTACCCCCCTGCTCGTTACCTGGTGTTTAAATGTTTGCTTGTTTTGTTACGTCTTTGTTACGTCCTCGTTCTATGTTGAGAGTTCAGACGTGCTGTTCAGACGTGCTGTTCTCCTTGCTTGGATTATTTATCTGTGTTTTGGATCATTTCTCTACCTGTTTGGATTATAACTTTGCCTTTTTGGATTCTGCTTTGTTTGGACTCATGCCTTGTGCTCTAACATAAGCCTGTTTTTGTGTTGCTTAATAAATCCCTGGTTTTAACTGCATCCTCCTCACCATTGTCTGCATTTGGGTCCACACCTCTGCTCTCTGCCCCTGCACTCAGCCACCCAATCCTGTGAATTGATCATTTTTACCTTAAAGGATATCTCATACTGTTCTCCTCCCCAGATCTCCAGACCCGTGTCATATCCTCCCAGCTCCCAAAACCACTTCCTGTCCACAGCAAACAGTCCACCTGCCATCACTGGTGACCTGCAGGAAACACAAAATACAACACTCACTACTTGTACATGTTTTTCAACAGCTGTACCTAAAACCATTACATTTACATAAAGAGCAACAGCATCACTTTCCACTTGTTGTTTGACTTTTTTAAATGAAATATTTCCCCACTTCTATTCACAAACAACTTCAACACATTACAAGACCCTTTAGCTCATCACTTTATTGCAGCAAAGGAAGAAAGATGGAGACAGAGAAAGCAAGGAGACAATCAGAAATCACCACCTAACAAATGAAATGTTAAAATGTCTACCTCAGGAACATTTTGTCAATCAAGAGAGAAATTTAAGGAGACATAAGCAGATGATAGAAATTGATTTGTGAGCTGTTTCACAAGGTTAAATGTGCAAATGAAGTTTGGATTAAATCAAAGCTGCGAACATACTGTGAAATTAAAATGGATTATTTAACTGAAAATTGTCTATTTTGGATAAATCATTGCTATTCAAATCGCAACCTGTCGATACTATTTTGGAAGAAGAAGGTATGTGATCGAGGCTGGGGGAAAATGAAAACATTTAGTTTTTTACAGTCCCTTGTATTAGAAATGTTGTGATCTTTTGTTTAAATATAGGATAGAGAGATATGAATGTTTCCCAATTACTGAAATGGTTGGTTAAAAAAGAAATCTATATCCCAAATTCCACCTTAAATAAAATGATGGCATTTATTTATGATTATACATCCATTAGTGTTGGTTTTGAAGGAATCGCAACAAAAAAAACTGTCAATACCATACAATTTTAAAATCACTCCTGTAGCAAAATACTGTATATTTCTATGAAGTTGATACATATGTTCAATATGTTCACTGTAGTTTCCCATTGAAAAACCATGTTTCATGTCTTCTGTGTTGCACTGCAGCCTCCTGATAGCTCCACTGAAACTAGTGTATCTATATTGGCAAAGTAACGATTGTTTGAAACATACAAGAGGTGACCCTGAATAGTCGAAGATTCGATGCTTCAACAGAAGGAACCTGATTCAACTACCAATCTCAGTCGACTCTTCACAGAGGCGTCAAAGCGAGTTAATATACAGGTGCATTTCAGAAAGTTAGAATATTGTGAAAAATTTCTTCCCGTAAGTCAAAAAGTAAAACTTTCATATATTCTACATTCATAGGGTAAACCACAGAAGGTCATTGCTGAAAGGACTGGCTGTTCACAGAGCCCTGGATCAAAGCATGTGCATGGAAAGTGTGACTGGAACAGAGATGACCGCAGCCTTGAGAGGATCGTCAGGCAAAGCTGATTCAAGAATTCAAGAATTTAGGGAAGCTTCACGAGGAGTGGAATGAGGCTTGAGTCAGTGCATCAAGAGCCACCAGGCACAGACAGGTCCAGGAAATGAACACGTGTTGCACTCTTAGTGTCAAGCCACTCCTGAACCATAGACAGCATCAGAAGCGTCTTATCTGGGCTAAGGAGAAAAAAAACCTGAACCATTGCTCAGTGGTCCAAAGTCTTCTTTTCAGATAAAAGTAAATGTTGCATTCGATTTGGAAATCCAGGTCCCAGAGTTTGAGATTGAGTGGAGTGGCTCAGAATCTAAGTAGGCTGTTGTCTGCTGGTGTTGGTCCACTTTGTTTTCTCCAGTCAAGAGTCAATGCAGCATCTACCAGGAGATTTTAGAGAACTTCATGCTTCCATCTGCTGACAAGCTTTATGGAGATGCTGATTTCCTTTTCCAGCCTAACTTGGCACTTGCCCACAGTTCCAACACCTCGAGTAACTGGTTTGCTGACCATGGTATTACTGTGCTTCATTGGCCAGCCAACTCGCCTGACCTGAACCCCATAAAGAATCAATTGGGTATTGTCAAGAGGAAAATGAGAGACATCAGACCAACAATACAGACGAGCTGAAGGCCACTATCAAAGCAACCTGGCCTTCCATAACACCTCAGCAGTGCCACAGGATGATTTCCTCTGTGTCACGCAGCACTGATGCTTTAATTCATGGAAAAGGAACCCCGATTAACTATTGAGTGCATAAATTAAACCTTTTTCAGAACTTTTTATCTTTTCAGAAGGTCAACATTTCCATATTATAGATGCTTTAGTTTACCTTTTTGACTTATATTACAAAAAACATTATCTAAAATGGACCTGAACAGCCTATTATGATATAAATATCAGCATACAATGTTGTAAAGAAGAAGAAGCTTTTAATTAATATTTTTAAAGCATGTAAATGAATCCAAAATTGGGCGCACTGATGCCCACTATTATATAGTTTTTAAACAGTACTTGGAAAAGGCCAGCGAGGTGCATGCAATTCTTGGCGGGCATGCACAACTCCGCACAAGACCAATGAATGGCAGGAATGCAGAGCAGAGAGAAAAGGGTCAACAATAAGCCTCAGTTTAGCTGTAAATGTAAACTGTGTAAAATGTAAATGTGTAAGTTACAGTGACTAATGAATAGAGACTGCAGCTCTGCAGCTTCTCTCTTACTCACACACACGATTTGACTGTAGGCTAGACTTGACAATTCTGATTTGACCATGTACATTCTTAGTCTGGGACACCTCTAAAACAAACTGAACATATGGGTCGAGACTGGATAAGTGGATTTTGATGCAGAAGTGATTTGAGGTTTCTATGAATTTATATATGTTGTTTGTTGGTATTCTGGGTCTCCGTCTGAATCCTCTGTAACTGCTGTGAATCCAAATTGACTGCAACTGCTGTCAACCATGAGGGAGCAAACAACTTTTCAGAGACATGTTTTTTAAGCCTACAGAATTAAAAACCCCAGTGGCAAAAAGCAAGATTCAGAATAAGACAATACACAGAGACACAGACAGTCAGAGATCATGTATTTATGGTGGCAGTATTTTTCACCAGATAATGAAGATGCTCTGAACAGTGCAGAACCAATTAACCTACTACAGAGCACTGTGACTTCTGTCTGCTGTGACAAGCTCTGTGCTGCTGAGTGCAGGGCTTGTTAGCTGTTGTATTGCTGCTGTACTTGATTGTAGCTGCAGCACACCTGAGGCAGAAAAACTGGGGCAGCAGGTGCAGTATGTTTGATTTCTTGTGAGGAACCCAACTCTCTCCACCACACGCCTTACTTTTGCACGATTAATATAATACTGATCATAGAAATCACTCAAAACTCAGTTGGATTTTCTCATTTGAGACCCCAAAAGCAATGCGGTCCTCTTCAGTGCAAAAATATTAAAATATACACTTGCAGGTCCACTAGGCTGTCATAGTTATGAACTTTTTATCTGGTAGAAGGCAGGCAGCCAGCAGGTAGTCTGCTCTTGCCAAAGTCATCCCTGAGGAAGATCAATTAAAGGAAACAGGGCGGCTACTGTATTGTCCGCAGAGAGAGAAACACTCCGGGTTTCCCACGCCTCATGAGCAGTGAGCACAGATATAAGTCCCGTGGTGATAACAGCCAGGTTCCTGCAGTTTTCCTTCTTCAAGGGTGAAAAGGATGAAATTAATCTAACAATGATTACAAAATGCTCTGTAATTCTCTCCCACACTCTTTTTTAAATGTCTTTAAACACATCTGCATCAATCTGACCAAACTGTTGTTTTTTTAATTTAACACTCATCCATCTTGTTTTACAGTGCATGTTCTTATTTCTAATGTAAGTAAAAACTATTTGGGTTGATGAAAACATCAATGTTTATGGTACCCTCTATGGGTTATGCTATCTACTGAGTCTAACCACTACACAACATCCATGTGTGATAGACGGATGGCTTTCTTTGCTGCATGGTAAAAGAACGAATTTCCTATTTATTTTCTCAATGACAATACTGCTATATCTGCTAATAATAACAATGTTCACTACATGGCCAATCAATTACACCCGTATCTGGATGTTTACCATTTCATTCCAAAACAATGGAAACTAATCTGCTGATTAACAACCCTATACTCTTCTGTGAGGACTTTCCATCAGATTTTGGAACATGGCTGCAGGGATTTCCTCCCAAGTCCTCCAACCTGAACGACAACTTAGGTAGTTTTAACCAACCTCCTAATATGACTCATATGAGCGTATCCTACAAGTGCATTTGTCCATGCCACCCAAAACGGCAATGTCATCAACACATGGAGACCGTAATGACACAGAGGAGGTAAACCCCAGCTGCTTGGCAGATTGGTCTCAAGGACGTAGGGTTAGGGGCAACGGGGGGCTGCCAGCGCCTTAAGATTAACATAGTTAGCTAGCTAGCTTTTGCTAATGCTAATACTAGTAAGCTAACATAGCTTACGCTACTTACACTAAAAGATATCTGTCTCAAATCAGTCTTCTTTCACATGACTATTTATAATACAGAACTGTCATGTTGTCAATTGTCATGTGCTTGCCTTGTACAGCCACTAGAGGTCGCTACCACAACATAAACATGAGTCATAATTTTGTGTGGATGAACGACCTATATGGTTGTTCAGTTACAAGAGCATTGTGAGTTCGGCCTCTGATGTTGGGCTATAACGCATGGCTTGCTGTCAGTGTTCCAGTTCATCCCAATGGTGTTGGGTGGGGTTCCTGTCAGGGCACTGGGCAGACCAGTCAAAGTCTTCCACATCAAACTGGGGAAAAAAAAATGTTATCTCAAGGCGCCAAATACCAAACGCTTTGAGTAAGCCTGACAAAGTGTTATTTGACGCACAAGGTACCCTTCAGCGTCCTTATGAAACACCTTTAGATTTAGGAAAAGATCATGGTTTTGGTTCGGTTTAAGCACCAAAACTACTTTGTTAGTTTTAGGAAAAGATTGTGTTTTGGGTTGAAATAAGTATGTTACGTGACAGCGGATGGGTTACATCAAGATGGCTTCAATTAATCCCAATGAAGGGAATTAATACCATCTTCCTGCTTACTGTATTTAGCTTTATTGGCATGAATGTATAACAACAATATTGCCAAAGCATCATACAAACTACATAAAAACAATCAACCCCATACATTTCATTAAAGTAATTAAAGCATAAAGTAATCATGGGGAGTTTCTGTGTGTTTGATATGAATTCGAATTTGGGGTATATTTGGGAAATGTTTGCAAAGTGTTTTTGTCTTAATGTTTTATATTTAAGGCATGAGGTTTGAAAGTGCAGCTCTGTCTCTACCTGTCCCCTGTCACACTGGGAGCAGAGTCTCTCCTCTTGTGGTAGCCAGCTCTGTCTGTGGCGATTGTGGCCAGTGTGAATTCTCTTTTTAGGGTCAGATAACGCTGTAATTTACTTTGTGTTTTGGTCGTTTCTTTCCAGAATTCAATATATTTTTCTTTCTGCTCGCTGATTATTTGGTTTGGTCTGCTTGAGCTGGTGTTGCTGTCCTCAGGCTGTTGGGGACTTGTTATTGCAGAGAGCCTCAGGACCAGCTGGCTGAGGGGACTCTTCTCTGGTTTCAGCTCCTGGTATGTTAGGGCTTTGTGATGGTATGTCTGGGGGTTAACTGATTTCAAGGGATTGTAAAATTTAATTGATCTTTTCTGTATTTTTAGTAAGAGGATTATTGGCCGAGCTCTGCTCTGCACAGGTTATTTGGTGTTTTTCTCTGAACCTGCAGGATGCTCTTACAGAACTCAGTATGGAAAGATTCTATGATTGTTTTGTCCCATTTCTCAAATTCATTATTTAGTTTTGGCCCCCAAATTTCGCTGCCATATAGAATTATCCAGATTTCAATTGGAATATAGTATATAATGTTTCTTTTTATTGCATAGAAAGCTCTCCTTGCTTTGTCCCTCAGATCTTTCACAGCCATGTTGTGGATTCCTGTGTATGTAATGTTGAGGCCAAGGTAAGTGTAGTTTTTTGTGTGTTGTAATTTAGTGGTGTCTAAATAGAAATTGTGTGAAACCTGATTTCTGTATTGTTTCTGAAAGATCATTATCTTAGTCTTTGCAGGAGCTTAAGGTGCTGCTGCAAACCTTCTTTAGTAGGTGAAAGCAACACTAAGTCATCTGCATACAGCAGACCTCTGATCTCTGCGTCGTTCAGTATAAGGCCAGGTGCTGTGGAACACTCTAATTGGTTCGTTAATTCATTGATATATAGATTGAAGAGAATTGGACTGAGATTGCATCCCTGCCTCACTCCCCGGCCCTGGGAGACGAACGCTTTTTGTCTGTTTGTTTCAAATCTTTATGGCACATTCACTTTTTGTATACAAGTTCTTAATCAAATCATATGTTTTTCCTCCAATGCCACTTTCAAGTAGCCTATAGAAAAGGCATTCGTGCCAGATGGAATCAAAGGCTTTTTGAAAGTCAACAAAACAGGCATATACCTTTCTGGAGGGTAAATATATGGTCCGTTGTGCAGTGTCTCTCTCTCTCTCCCCAACTCAATCAACTGACTGAGGACTTTCTTCCACTTTCCTATTGTGCACTATGACAAACAGCTTAATTTAATTACTCTTTAATCCCCTTTTCAATTAGGTCTCTCCTGATTAAAATGACTTTGAGTCCCTTACTGTTCCTCCAGCTTCACCATCAGGTTGACATTTTTGGGTTTGTGTAAAATATCTGAACAACCATCCAATGGAGTACCATAAAATTTGGTACACACATTAATGTCCCACTCAGGAAGAATTGTCAGGTCAAAATTGTAATTTGTCCAATACTGTGATTAACTGTGTGTATTGTGTAGTATACTGTGTTTAGCGCTAATTACAAATGTTAGCTCGATAAATGTTAAACTAAGATGGTGATTGTGGTGATTATTATACATCAACTCACAAGAAAAGCAACAATTTTGTCACCATTACTTTCCAGATCTTGGGTACTGTACCTAGACCACTTTGTCCAATCTGTGCTCCGGATGTCAACTGACATGCGATAACTGATACAACACTATGTGACATAGTTGGTGTATGTTATAAGGTAGTGTTACCTCCACGAACAGTGGTTCTGGCCTGAGAGAGGAGATGTAATTTCTCTTATTCTGATTAATGGCATTTTAACAAGGAAACAACAGAAACATCAAGTCCATGTGTGGCTTTATCTGACAGAACCGTAAACCGATCAGCAGGCCTGATGTAAGAGTATGAAAATTAATCTTTAAACTCAACTTCAGTCATTTTCTTCCATCCAAAAAACAAATACTGCTATTATGATGATAAGTCAGTCATCTCTCAGTTTAAGAAAAAAAAATTTAAGTTGACATTGAAAAGAGAAGGCATAAATGGGAATCTTAACTTCATGGGAAAATGTCTGTCAACTGTTCAAAGTGTATCTTCTATCTTTATTTAGTTTTGATGCAACAGAGCAATGATAGACAATATGAAGTGTGCTGTCACTCACTCAAAGGGTTCACTGGGGTCGTCCTTCTGCAGCTCTGGAGGGATGGGTATCCGTTTGTAGTACATTTCCCAGTCAAACGCCCCTCGCATGGCGTCCCCCGCCTGCGTGTCATAGCCAAAGTTGTCGTGGTCGATCACATCGATCATTGGACACACGATAGTCTTCCTGTTCTGGGCGATTCGGTCTAAGAGACACAGAGGCACATAGATGGTTGATTGATAGAGTTGTGTTTGTTTATTTGTGTTTATGTATTGTGTGTATCGTGTGTCCCTTATCAACAGTGGTAAAGGAGGTAGTAAGTGGCTATCCATTAAAAAAAAAAAAGCATGTACTGTGTGTTTGTGTGTGGGTGTGTGCGCGCACTATGCCCTGTTACTCAAAAAGAGTTTCCAGTGTGCTGACACGGGGTCACTCTGATGTTACAGCTCCTGCTCCATTGCTCATAGTTAAAAACATTTCCATGGTAGTTTCAGTAGGGCATACAGTCACATTACACTGATTGTTTAGACGTATGCTGATTGGCAGGCTGTCATTTCACAAGCTACCGACATTTGATAGACAGAAGCAGAACAGCAGAGGAAGGATTAATGCCTGAGAAATTCTGGCAAATACATGAGAGGGGGAATAGTGGAGCGATAACGGCGGTCATGAGTGTGAGTCTGTGCATGAGAGAGAGAGGCCACTCTGAAACAATACAAGTACACCCTAAAAACTAAGAACAACCAAAACAAAACCCAGCAGGATGAATTGGCGATCCAAGATGGAAATACTTGGATTAATCACTTCACTAGTGATTTATACAGTAATATTATAAAAAACGATGATCAGTACAAGATATTCACGAAATGGAAAACTCTAGAGGTGGTGATAAAAAAAACAACCAAAACCCTCTAGATTACCCTGTAACAGAACAAGAATTAACAGAAGTCATCCAGTCCCTGAAAGAAAAGAAGGCTTGTGGTATTGATGGAATCCTCAATGAAATGATCAAATACTCAGACCATAAAATCAGATTGGCTATGCTAAAACTATTCAATACTATTCTAGCTACTGGAACTTTTCCAGACATCTGGAACAAAGGTTTAATAACCCCAATTCATAAATCCGGAGATAAATACGACCCAAATAACTAAAGAGGAATATGTGTATCCAGTAACCTGGGAAAAATATTCTGCAACATCATTAATAAACGACTTGTCAACTTTGTTGATAACCACAATATTCTGCATAAATGCCAAGTTGTTTTTTTTCCAAATTGCCGCACAACGGACTATATATTTACCATCCAGACTCTAATTGATCAAGAATTAAACATTTAAAAAAAGAAAGATATATGCCTGTTTTGTTGACTTCCAAAAAGCCTTTGATTCCATCTGGCACGAGGGCCTTTTCTATAGGCTACTTGAAAGTGGCATTGGAGGAAATACATATAATTTGATAAAGAACATGAATACAAAAAGTGAATGTGCCATAAAGATTTGAAACAAACAAACAGCGTTCTTCTCCCAGGGCCAGGAGTGAGGCAGGGATGCAATCTCAGTCCAATTCTCTTCAATCTATATATTAATGAATTAGCAAACCAATTAGAGAGTTCCACAGCACCTTGCCTCATCCTGAACGACACAGAGATAAGAGGTCTGCTGTATGCAGATGACTTAGTGTTGCTTTCACCTACTAAAGAAGGTTTGCAGCAGCACCTTAACCTCCTTCAGAGATTCTGTCAGACCTGGGCCTTGACAGTAAACACAGCAAAGACTAAGATAATGATCTTTCAGAAACAATACAGAAATCAGGTTACACGCAATTTCTATTTAGACACCACTAAATTACAACACACAAAAAACTACACTTACCCTGGCCTCAACATTACATACACAGGGAACTTCAACATGGCTGTGAAAGATCTGAGGGACAAAGCAAGGAGAGCTTCCTATGCAATAAAAAGATTAAACATTAAAATATATATTCCAATTGAAATCTGGCTTAAAAATTTCCAATTTGTACTAGAACCAATAATTCTATATCGTAGCAAAATCTGGGGGCCAAAACATAATAATGAATTTGACAAATGGGACAAAACAATCATAGAATCTTTCCATACTGAGTTCTGTAAGAGCATCCTGCAGGTTCAGAGAAAAACACTAAATAACCTGTGCAGAGCAGAGCTCGGCCAATACCCCCTCTTACTAAAAATACAGAAAAGATCACTTAAATTTTACAATCACTTAAAATCAGTTAACCCCCAGACATACCATCACAAAGCCCTAACATACCAGGAGCTGAAACCAGAGAAGAGTCCCCTCAGCCAGCTGGTCCTGAGGCTCTCTGCAATAACAAGTCCCCAACAGCCTCAGGACAGCACCACCAACTCAAGCAGACCAAACCAAATAATCAGCGAGCAGAAAGAAAAATATATTGAATACGGGAAAGAAACGACCAAAACATAAAGTAAATTACAGTGTTATCTGACCCTAAAAAGAGAATTCACACTGGCAAATTACCTGAGCACAATAAAATGTCCTAAACTAAGAAAAATGTTGACAACATACAGAATGAGTGAACACAGCCTGGCCATGAAAAGGATCACCACAGACAGAGTTGGCTACCACAAAAGGAGAGACTCTGCTCTCAGTGTGACAGGGGACAGGTAGAGACAGAGCTGCACTTTCTAACCTTATGCCTTAAATATAAAACACTAAGGCAAAAACACTTTGCCAACATTTCCCAAATATACCCCAAAATCAAATTCATATCAGACACACAGAAACTGTGAAGTAATTGCTGCAAAATATGTCTCCTCATGCCATGAAGTGAGGACAACCAGTGGAACCTCAGATTGATAAATAATTGTACAGATTTTCAAATTATTATTATTTTGATATTTTAGTAATTTTTTTGTTTTTACATTTGTTACTGATTTCTTTTTAAAATTATTATATTTTAATCAATAAATTTTTTTTTTAATTTTTTGTGTATTAATACACACACCCACGTTACTGTTTCATTTATTTATTTATTTATTTTAACACAAACACACATACGCTTTAATTACTTGTTTAATGAAATGTATGGGGTTGATTGTTGTGTAGTATGTATGATGCTTTGGCAATATTGTTGTTACACATTCATGCCAATACAGCTAATTTGAATTGAATTGAGAGACTGGGACATATACATACATATATATATATAAACAAACTGAAAAGTCCCTTTTGAGTGTTAAATATGTTCACTTTATATTAGCTGCTGGAACATTCAAGACCTTTGGCTTGAAGAGTACAAATCCTGAATCTAAAGAAAATGTTGATAATCTTATACTGACAGAAACATGGTGTCACTGGAACATGATTTCTCACTTTCCCTCAGGATACAATGAAATCTTAGTGCCTTTATTAAAACTGAACACTGTATGCCAGGGGCAAAACTCCGGGGAAATCATAGTGTGTTTAGAAGGGAACTTTGCCAGTCACCTCTCCACAGTCAAACAAGGAAAGTCACACTTCTGGCAAAAACTAAACTCAGAAACTCAAAAAGTAGGTGGCACTGACAGCATGCACTCCTAAACGGCAGATGGCAGTGCTCTAATTATTTACCACTGTTTTAAAATGTGGCTGTTTTCCTGGCACTTGGAGTCAAGGTGTTATATCTCCCATCCATAAGAATGGAGATAAATCTGACCCGAATAACTACAGAGGGAGTTTGAAGTCTCAGAAGTTTCTGTTTTATGCAGACAACCTGGTGCTGTTGTCCCCCCACAAAAGAGACCTCCTGGAACAATACTGTTAAAATTGGGCCCTGGCAGTAAACCCCCCAAAAACTCAGATCATGATATTTCAGAAAAAAACAAAATGCCACGAAAACAGAAATCTTTTGGTAGGTAAAACCACCCTAGACCACACAATGAACTTCACCTACCTGGGCCTTCAAATCACAGCATCGGGTAACTTGAATGCATTAACCTCTTAACATTCCAACAGCCCCCCCACGGGCCATCAGATCACCATAGCGGGTACATTCAAAATTGACGGGCCTATGAAGTCTCATAATAATCCACCGATTAATTATATTCCAACAAAACTGGTTTTGTTATGTTGTCAAAAGGTCCAGTAAAAATATTTGGTCTAAAACACATTATTCAATCAATTAATCCCCAGGGACTGATGCAGTATCGTTTTATATTTTCCGGCAGACGTGGCTCGTATGTCATTATAACCATAATAAAAGAGATTTGAATGTAAACAACTACGATAGCTTGTATTCAAATTAGCCGCTGAGTGACACCAAATCCGACCCAATGTGAGCTCACATGTCCGTTACACAGCCTACAATAGCCAACGAGAGCCCGCGCTGTAAGGAAAGCCAGCCCCTGTTATTTTTCGTGGGTAGGCCGAGCCATTTGCAAGCAATTGTGCCGATGACTGGCATTTCAATCAATCAACAAAATTTATTTCGGTCCTCACACATAATAATAAAAAAAAAAAAAAAAAGAAAACAATGAAAATAAAACAATATATACACATGCATAACAACCGAAAAAAGGTGTAGACTGAAGCCTATGCTTATTGTGCCTACCCTTTTTACATAATTTTCTAATCAGCGTCACTTTTCTCTCTGGATTTAATCCATTCTAAATAAACGTACAGTTACATAAAAAACGTACACATACGTCGTACACATCTGAGATATTATTTCAATATTTGACATAAAGCGTACACAAATTAATCGTATAATTATTTATCACCTTGTTTTTAAACATTTTCTTAAAATTACAGAGTGAAGTACACAATTTTAATTCCTTGTCACAATTATTCCATAGGTTTACCCTTATCTATTTTTTATATTAGTTCTTGCTCTTACTTTTTTAAACATATACATTCCTCTTAATTTGTACTGACTTTCTCTAATTTCGAACAGCCTCGGAACTAAATTCTTATAGACTTTATACATGACCTGGGCAGTATAAAGGTCAACTAAATCAACAAATTTTAAAGCTCGTAAATTAATAAATAATATATTTGTTGGTTCATAATAGTCAGCCCGTTTTACAATCCGTAATGCTTTCTCTTGTAGCATATATATTGAATTTGTATAAGTTTTATATGTATGACCCCACACCTCCACACAATAAGTAATGTATGGAACTATGAGCGAACAATACAATATATATAATGATTTTTCATTCAA